GACCATTAGGAAAGATGGTACAGATTTCTGACATGTGTTGAAGGCCTACCTAGTATGAAAAGTGTTTTGTTAATAAAAAATCAAGATGGGGGAAAGATGGAAAATCTCCCTCTTTTCTTTTGTATGGATTTTTTTGTTTTGTTTTTAACCTATTAATTGCAACAGCAATAGAAGACCAGGTAAGTTCACTGTTGCCATTTAGTTTGAAGGCAGCAGTAAAGGCAAATGCAGGATGACATTCATAGTGCTGTTACCTTAGCTGCAGTGGTCCTTGCATGATGTTAAGTAAGTTAAACCTGCTCTTATGACTAATTCTTTGTAGAAAAAAGCAACCTCTGCTGACTGTGGTTTGTAGGTATCTAGAAAGCCTTTTCTAAAGCCCTTTTTCTGATGCAAAGGGCTTTAGAAATAGCAGGTATTTGCTTTTGTATAAGAGTGTCTTCTTCAGTGTTTGAGATGAAATCCTTTTCATCTCCTGCAATGTGAGGTGAATGTGAGCTTCCTTCCTAGGTGGACTCTGAGGGCTTTGTCCTACTTGCATTTGTCTTGGTGGGAGCAGATCCTAGCTTGCAGCAAATGTGCAGATGCCATGAGTTTTTAGAGATGGGTTTTCAAGCTCTTCTGAAAACTTTGGCCTGTACGATCTGCAACAGAGGAGAATTCTTACTAAAAAAAATATTTGGTCATATTCTATTTATGGGACTTAAATAAAACTTTCTAGTGTTTCTTGTAGTGTCTGTATTCCCCTAGCTTACGTATGTTATTTTTCTTTCACAGTGCCTTTGTTTGAGATGTACCTTTTTTGTGTGGGAAAACCTAAAGCTTCAGTGTTGCCTAACATTCAATGGCTTTTCTTCATGGTGGGGAGGTGAAAACGGAAAGGAGTGGTTGCAGGATATTTTAACTCATAGACTTCTCACTGTGCATGCAGCAGCACACACACTTGATTGTTCTGTGTGCTTTCTTGGGGCTCTAGATGCCTTTTATTTTTTACCAGGTAGTCATCGGCATAAATCCTGAGAAGGCTGCATGTGTAGGGTTGATTGTCCCCAATCTTCCTAGGCAGGCTGAGCCTGTGGAAGAACAAGTCTAAGGCAATGAACAAGGCAGAGCCTGTGGATGAACATCTACTAAGATGACTGAGTGTTGTGTTGTATAGTGTCCTTCAGGAGATGACAAAGTGAAATGGTGCATTCTTCCAACATAGGCTTTACTTGAGACTGTAGTGAAAACATGCTAAGCTTTTATTCAGACACTGGAAAACAGTGTTAACTGTTTCTCAGCTGCACCTTTTCTCATGTTAAGTCTCGCATTCTGCTTAAAACTTCATGTCTAGCCAGTGGAGTGGGCATACCTGAACGCCTGTTGAAAAGGAGGATCCAGGTAGAGCCAGTCCATGCCAGATGCTTGACACCACACCTTCTGTGTACTTCATGCTGTTGGACCACCAGAGTCATTGTGGACCCTTTGGTATCAATGGGAACAATGTTTGCAGGATGTGTCCTAACACAGTTGTGATTCATGAGGAAAAGGCTGGTCAGGATGCTGGTGAATGAAGGTTATCAAGACTGTTGGTGGAGTATGCCAAAGTACTGGATGTATTGAAATTCTCTGTCCCAGAGGCTTCTAAAATTTGACACTTTCAGAAACATTAAATCCACTTTTACTTAAGCAAAAGCCAGCTTTTATAACTGACATCACTGGTATGGTGTAGCAGATGGTCATTAAGGAGCTTATCTGTAACCATTAACTTAGTAAATGAAGTCAGCTAGCTCTGTTGGGGGAAGGTGTTAACATACAGTTTTCTTGTTTAGGACTTTGTTTTAGTCATTGAATGCAGCTGTAGTGTGAGATGGGCAACCTAGAGGGCTGTATCTCTTGAAAGAAAGGCTTCTTGCCTTGTTTAGGAGGTCAAACATGTATTCCTAAGAATTTCAGAAGGCCAAGAACACTTCTTGCTTTTTTTTTTTCATAGGCAGTGTTAGAAACATCAAAAGGATTAAAAAAACTATACACTTCCTGCAATATTTCATCTTTCTGTTCATGGCACGTAGCAAGTGTAGTGGAATCAGCACAAACCCAGATGTTATCTGACTCCCTTCTTTGAAATGTCCGCTGCTGCAGAGAAACTTTGTGAACATGCTGGATGCAGAGGCTAACAGTGATGCCTTCAGGGGCGGAGAGGAAACACAGGCGTCTGATACAGACTTCCTGAATTCCGAAGCTTATTCTTTTAAAAGATACCCTCTCACTAATCTGCAGATGTGCTGCATTGCATTATGGCTAGTCATGGTATGCATGAATGAGAGCTCTTGTTTTGGGGCTGCCTGTGTTGAGAACACTGGGAAGATGAGAATCTTGCATTTGCAGTTGTAATTTTTTACGATGATAGAGGCTGATTCCCCATGTGCAGTGGAAGGCATTTGTGCTCTGAGGACAGCAGTGTCAGCAGATAATCCTGAGGCAATGGCATGTCTTTGTGCTCTTTACATAAAGCCTGAAACTCAGTCTCCTGAAAGTAAGACAGGGACATGAAGATATGTCATTAATCTGTTGTGAGGACCTGACCATTTTTGGGATCATGGTGCATCGTCTAAGTGCTAAATGAGGGGAAATAAAGGTTCAGATGTCTGTGCTTGACAGGATAAGAAGAAATCATGAGTGATGAGAAATCTAGATCTAATGCCTCACTGTTACATCCATCTCCCTAATAGACTAGGAAGAGAAATGGTGACAGTTACTGAAGAAAATATGAAGGTGCTTCTTCCCTGGCTGACAGGTGACTATAGGCCACTGCCTGAATCTGCATCCAGATATGGGACTGTCCACACTTAACACAAGTTTGGTCCCAAAATAGCTCTCCTGGGTAGCTGTACCCTTTTATTTGGCTTTTTATTGCTATTTCTATTTCACTTTCCTGGGAGAGAAAGAAATTAATATCCACTGCTTCATAAAAGCCTCACTGGGTCTCTGCCAGTAGCCTGGACTTACCATCGACAACTTATTCAGAGCTTCCTCCAGACACGAGCTACCAGCATGTGACAAGTGGATTCTTGCTCTGTGCATGTGTAGCATGTCTGGAAGGACATCTGGAATCCTTTCCCAGGCTCTTGTCACCTGCCAGAGCTATGGCAAGACATTGTGGTGGAGGTACCCCTAAAGGGGGGCTGGAAACAGTGACAAGAGCAGAAGGTGCCCAGCATCAGCACAGAGGTACAGTGCTTCACTGCTGTGCCTTAGACATTCAGCTCGTTTGTCCTTGCTTACTGCAGTCCTGGTGCCTGCTTGTACACCTGCGATTCACTCGGTACTTACTGGTGCAACTGCAGCAGGCATGTGACCCCCCTCACTAGGTAGTGCTTTCACTGGAAGGCCGTGCTGTATTTGAGGTATTGCTCATAGTGGGATGTATTTCTTTTTTGTTGCAGAGCACCTCCATCCATGAATTGGCTACAGCTTTGGAAGGCAGGGTTGTGTTTACGCTCTCCTTAATACCCACAGTGCGGTTAGTGTTCCCACAGCAAGGCCCTGAGCCTAAGGCACCTGCCAAGAAAATGTGCAGACCAAAGCAGTGGTGAGGTGGCGGGAGCAGAGAAGTTAATGTCACATTGTTTGAAATATGACTCTTGTGCAGGTGTCTCTCTTCTACCGGTGGCCAATACAGTATCTCTTTGCTTATTTGTTCTCTTGTTATGAAGTGTGCTGATTGTAGGAGGACCTGAATATGGCTTTTCACAGCCTTAGTATCTCTGTTGCATGAAATGACTAACTATATTGTATTGCCTCGCCTTGCATTATATATGGGCCAGTAGTGAAATCAAAAGAAAAGGCACTACTGAATTTAGCCAAGTTGGATTATGAACAGTTCAGAACACAGATGGATACTTAAGAGGGTCACGGGCTTAATAGCATAGCCTTTCCAGGCTGCTGCTTATTCTCTGCCACTTTCCATTTGGCTTTTATTAAGGGATCAAAGAGGTTTGGAAGGAAGATGATGATTAAAGTTTGAAAGCTGATGCATTTAGAAAGAGCCTTCTTTTCAACTACAGTGCCCAGCTTCAGTAATGCATGTTTTCTGGTGAATGAGGTCTCGGGGGCACATGAAGCAAGGGGCAATTTTTCTCACTGCGTAGCTGACCTCTCCCAAGAGTGTAACCTGTCCTGGCAATCCCAGATGAGTCCTCTTGCACCCGACCTTTAGGTGAAGGAGAAGGCTCCCTGTGGAAATGCTTGCTGTGGGGGGTGTTACTGTTCTGCCCCTGGGCACTGCACTCCTTCAGTACTTGCTCCCCAGTCGGAACAGTAATGTAAGGACTCCAGGAATCAGTGTTGTCCTCAGCGCTGAACTGAACAGTAACTGGCATGTTATTCTTAAAATAAGCTGAACAGGAAAAATTGCATAACTTTGTCTTGAATTTTTAAGGAAGACATTTGTGCTGTCTTGAAGAAGAACATTAGTCTTGTGGCTTCTAGTCTAGACAGGGAGGTAGAGAAACCTGTCTTGGGTTCCTGCATCTTCCACAGTCTGGCAGAGAACTGTAGCACAGAGACTGGAAGACTTATCTCTACAAATGGAACAAGTCTTAATTATTTTGTTCTCTAATTGAACACCATGTGTTATTCAATTTGATATATTTTTTTTAAAATCTCATGAAAATAAGGCCGTTGGAGATTGCCATGTTATGATTGTGGTCATTGAAGGATGGTTGAGGCATGTGCACTGTAGTACACCTAAGCAAAGCTTAGAAGCATGTGTTGAGCCATTTCCAGCAGAGATGTATGTAACTGAGTGTATTTTTATAAGATTCTTTGTTACTTAATTTTGTTGCTTGATTATACGACTTTGGATTTTTATTAGAACAGATACTGCACTTTCTTTAGTGAAGACAAATTTGGAGAATAAAACCAGGGTGAATAAAAATAGCAATGGTGCACTTCTACCTTTGTGCCATCGTTAGGTGGTTGTGGACTCCTTTCTAACCGCTTGTTTCCTCTTCTAGGATAAGAGAAATTATGAAGAAAGCATCTCTCCCACAAGATGATCCCGACACCCCGCTGTCAGTTACCTTGGCCATAGTTGAGTCAGATTCCACAGTAGTGTACTATAAAATGACTGATGGCTTTGTAATACCAGATCCTCCTGATGGTACTGAAGATGTGGATGATAAACAGTGGAGAAAGAAAAGAAAGAAGCTTTTCAAATGATTAAGACAAACAGACTTTTCTTGAACTACTGCCCTCAAACCTAAGCAAATCCAGGAACTTATGTATGTAAATAAGTAGTGTGCTAAAGTCTGCCTTCTGCATATCAAGCATCTGTTCAGGGAGAACAGAGGCTTGTGCAGCTGCAGTGTAATGAAACGCCATTTAAAGTATGAAATGGGTCACGCTTTGAGACCGATTGCTCCTGACTAATAAATACACTTGTGAGATGTTTCCAAAGCTAGTCTCTCCTTTATATCTCTGTTCAGGTACATAACAGAATAAACGCATCTTTACCCATATCGTAAATATTGGTTGAAGGTAAATCTTACGGGTTTCTGGCAGGAGTACTAAGTTAAGGGTTTTGTAGTTTACAGTGTCTTTGTCTTAACACTGTCACAAGCACTCATGCTACTTCCCAGGTTATATTTCTGAACACTTACTTTCTTTCCCCTCCTTTTGGAGAAAAGACTTTTCCACAGAAATACCTTATTTTAAATTTTTCTCTGTGGAGGGAAAACTGACTATTGCACTACCAGAGGCTATTAGAACAAAGCGTAGACTAGAAAAGATGGCTCTCTGGGACTGCCTGAAGAACCTACGAACAGAGGGCAGCCCTTCATGTGGAGGTAGGTTATGACTGGATCAACACCTGGAAGTGTTGACCTGGGGTAGTGTTACCCACATAGCTGAACGCACACCATGCTAAAGGTCACAATCCAGAAACACCACCTGGTGCTTGTTCCACATACAGTGTTGCACAACTGTAAGAATCGAAGGTACCTTGTGTTCACATTCCAGTACGATGAAATTGTCTAAATGGTGACCTGCCCTCTCCTTGGGCTTCCTGTCTGAAGTAGCTTCAACATGCTTTTAGTGCTTCACTGTGATGTTAGTGCTTAAAGCTCTCTGAATTGGAGCATGACAACAGGGCATGTTTTTATCTGTCACCAAAGTATGTCACCTGTGCTATGAGTGGACACTAGTTATCTGCTTTGTGCAGCAAGCAGGTTTCTAAACCCATTTTAATTTTTAGGATTTTTTTTTTTTTTTTTTTTTTTTTGGACATAGCTTCTGCTCATTAAACTGGCTGCCCAAGAGGTGCTTCAGCTAGGAGTAAGTTAAGAGTAAAAACATGACTTTTAGTTTCTTCTACAGGAATTTTCCGTGTCTTTCACATAGAAATCTTCTTCAGGTTAAGCTTAAGAGTTTCTTGGCAATCAAATAGTATCCCAGAAGCAGCTTCTTGAGTACAAAAATGTCTGTATGACATTTGTGTGGCCAAGGACCACACATTCAAAATTTGAAGCACAAGAGCTCTTTTTTTTGCATGGGTATAAGAATGGGAGAGAATCCAAAAAAACAACCTGGAAATGAAAGACCATTTAAACTTTACTATCCCTATGACTAGAGTGGATGTTTTTATGGTTGTGGAGTTTGAAACTTGTTTGGCCAAACGCACCGGGAGGCAGAATGATCTAGCAGGGAGAGCCCAGGGCAGGAAGGCCCTTGCACCCTGTGTGACGTCAGGCGTTGTGTTTGGGTGCTGGTCCTGCAGGTGTTTTGCAGGTGCCTAGTCTGGGCAAGGGAGGCAACTGCTCTTCTGGCTTGTTCAGACTTCAACCCTCTCGGGGTGTTCCTGGGCTTGCAGCACACACTCACCCCTCCCAGCTTTGACAACGAACTTGGAGAAGGGTGCACTGTTAGCACAGGGTTCTCTATGGCACCTTCGAGCAAAGGGGAAAGCATTTATCACCAGCTTCACCACTTACCATCGCCTGGGGGGACCAAGCTGACTTGGGGAATTTGTTAATCTGTGGGGAATAGGCTGCTGTGCGTGCCCAGGTGCTTTGCTGAGCACCCTAGTCTCACTAATCCAGGAAGCTACTCAGAGCACATAAGCAACTCTCTGATATTGGTGCTATTTTTTTCATCTTTTTATTGGTAGTATTTCTCACTGCTGTACATTATGACAGTACTGTTTCTTAAAATTAGATTCTCACGTGTGCTGTGGTTCACTGAGGTGAGAGCTTTGGCAGCTGATACCAGCTCAGAAAGGTTTCCTTCTGACAGTTTTTGTTTTCAGCTATTAACCTGATGCTGCATAGGCTGAGCTTGGATGGGTTACTACTGTATGGATGTGTACCCTGATTTGTTAGAGTAATTGGACAAGCCATACATGAGTCTGTGTATGTTCTGATGCAGTCAGAAACAAAATGGTTGCTTTTTTCCTGTACAGCAAGGGGAGACAGTGGGTCTGTGGGCTTCAGTCATGGACAAAGGCAAAGAAAAATTCTCTCTTTCTCACTCTTGCTCCTTTCATGGAGGAAAAATGTAATTTTATTTTGGTCTGATGCCATACTGCCTTAAAAGGGTACCTGTGTGCCGACTCCTGACATGCTGTGTTTGACCTTAACATCGATATTTCATGTACTCTACTGCTTATTCCATAAAGTAAATCTTATACCTTGCTAGGCTACATACCACCAGGTAAATTGTCCTTGTTATAAGCTGTTAAATACTTCAGCCCCAGTGTGAGTGTGTGCTGGAAAAGAGCTGGTTTTGTGTGAAGAAAAATGTAGCAGATGCTACACATTGCAGAATTTATATTTAAGTGACACACACTTAACCCCAAAAGCAAATTCTTTTGCATTTGCTTCAATTTCTGGGAAATACTGCCATTTTGCAGTTTGCTGCATGACTGATGCTTGGCTTTATCCTTAATTTTATTATTTCTATGAACAGAAAGAGGAGCATAACTTGAGCCTCCTTTTCTATACACCGAAAACTGCCTACCCAGTCTTCAGAAGCTGAGTTGAAGAAACTGTCCAGGGGCTTTGATTTCTGCCATGTGTCCCACTGAGAAATGATTATACAGGCCCTTTTCCAGCCTCCTTAGATTGTGGTGGTTCTTTATTTCTGAGAAAAAAAAAACAACAGAAGAATAAATAATATCACTGCACTGTTTGTCCCATATGTATTACCATGTAAACAAGGGGATGTTAAAAAAGTTCAGAGCCAGCTGTGCTGTTCCTTTACATTCCACTGAAGCATTTCTCTGTTTCAAGTGAACAGCATGCAGACTAGAGCCTCCGGTGTTCCAGGCACTGAATAAAGATGGGAAGAGACTTCCCTTGGAAGTGTATCAGTTCAGAGCAGTAGCGCATTAACATTCCTAAATCCATAGTCTCTTGGTGCTGTGCCTAAAGTACTCAAACATTACTCTGCTTTAAGTGTTCGTGAGACATCTGTGGAAGCGTGAGCCATGACATCTGGCCTTGATGCCTTTGCAAATTTATCTCTTATTTCAGTCCAGAAGATTTTACAGGCTACCTCTTGCCATCTTTTAATTTTTTTTTCAAGTTTTTTTTTTTTGCCATGCACAGTTTGATTTGTTTAACTGATCACCCTTGACCAACAAAAGGTAAATTTTAAAATCTTAAGAGTATCATTTTACGGTAGATTATTGTTTCAAGTCTTTTCTCTCTTCGGAGAGATATTTGCATTGAAGCTTCCCCACCGAGTAAAGAATGATAGAAAAGCAAAGTGATGTTTTGGCATGGATTTGACAGTGAGACTCGATGCCCAGTTACATAAGTAAGCGTCCGCTTAGGTTTATGCAAACTCTGTTTCCTTGAGGCATTACTGGCACTGTCACCCGAACTGTCCTGTATTCAGCCTGACTGTTTGCAATGCAGACAGAACATTTTATGCGAAAAAGCACCGGTCAAGAAGCAGGAAGCCTCGTCAGATGCGTAAAGAGGAGCTGTGGTTGCAAGAAGCAGCCGAGAAACGCGCGCTGCAGCAGACAGCTGCCGAAAGCGAGCGGCTACCCCTGCGAGTTTCCCCTTGGCCACGCGGAATAAGCAGAAGCACGTGTGTACGTTTGGGCAGCAGGCTCCTCCCGCTGGAGTCACCCACGCCTTCGTGGCCGTGCGCGTGCCGTGTGTGAGCTCAGCGTGGACCAGCGGGGCGAGTGAAGGACGCGAAAGCGTCGGCTCACGACCTGTCCCTGCTTGCCGGCGCACGCCTGCGTGGCAGCCGTGCGGTCCCTGGCAGCGCTGCCCAGCACACGGTGAGCAGGTGAAGATGTGTTGCTTCCAAGCCGCACCCTAAGCAGGATCCTGTCCCCTACAAAATGGGTCTCAGCATCCCTACAAAACAGTTCTGTTTTTCGGAAATCGCTAGGAGAAAGACATGGTCTCCTCTTGTAACCCGTTCTCAAGCTGGGCAAGGTTTTCCACAGCATGTTTTGCTTGGACACAACATTGAAATATCAATAACGTTACTAAAGCCAAGCGATCTTAATCTTTCTCTTTTCTGGGTCAGCAACCCAACAAAGCTTTTTTGTTTAATTTAAAACAATTCTTTTCTAATAAATGGTCTGTATGAATTTATTAATCATCCTACTAGTATTGCAGGTCCATAGGAATTAGATGTTTAATAGATTGTCCCAGCAGTTTTCAGGTATCTAAACTCCATCAACTACCCTGTAAGTCCTGCTTTATATAAATGGGCTTACTGTTAATCTCCTCTAGCCCTCCAGGGCTGTCTCAGTCCTCCATTATAACCCAATAGTTTAAAACTTCCTTAAGTCATTAGCCAAAGCAAATAAACCGAGATAAATTCAGGCCCTACTAACTGAACTTTCTCAAACTGAATAGCCTTTCACCTCTACCTTCCTTATTCCTATTCTGCTTTCGTTTTAATCATCCTGTTGATAAATCGCACTTTGCAAGGCTGAAGCAATAGCGTTGAACCCTTCGGCCCCTTCCATCCTTTCTGTTAAGAGATGTGTGCTTTTCTTCATCTCCCTCCTGTTTTGCTTTTTCAATGGTTTTCTTACTGCCTTTCATATCGCTGCATCACACCTCGGCACACCCTGATTTTGCAGGACTGAGAGGAATTCGGTGCACCCCTGGTGTGGATCCTGCCTCAGCACCCCCAGCTACAGCAGATACCCAGCAGGCGAAGCAACACCGGCCGGGATTGCACAGGATCCTACATTATTTCAACAAACAGCAAATTGCCATGCTGGCAAGTAACTCCTATGCAGAAATGAAGATAATTACGAGCAACTAAGGTTTCCTAACTCTTCAAAAAAAGCTGCAGCTGCATCTCATATTTCAGAGTATCCCAGGGAGTCAGTCGCTTTTCCATTTTCTTTCCCTCATTTCT